TACATGAATTCTGTGAGCATGTGCATACTCGTATACATGGGTATATGAATGTGCATGGGTGTGTGATTCACATACACTACCAACATGATATTAAATATATGATTTTAATATGCTAAAATACAATTAGCTCTCACTCTCACTCTTGCTCTCACTCTCCTTTCACTCTCACCTTCACTTTCAGTCTGACTCTCACTCTTACTTTTATTCTCACTCTCACTCCAACCATCACCCTCACTCACTTTCACTCTCTCTCGCTCGCTTTCTTACTCTTACTCTCAGTCTCTCCCTTTCTTAACCACTCTCTCATTCCATATTATTCAGTCCATCATCACATGTTGGCAAAGTGACTCCCAAGGTGCTTGTCATCAACCCCAAGTGTCATAAATTGAATATCCAACCAGTTAATGGGCAGGCATGATTTACCAGGAGTCAGACATATAAGCCAGACATGCACAGAAAAAGTAGCAATTTTCCATTGGTTACTGATAAGCATAGAAAGAGAATCTTAAAATATGGGGAAAAAAATAATGATAATGATGACACAACAGTAATTGAAATAACAGGAAGTGATGATGATACCAACAACAACAATAATAATAATAATAATAATAATAATAACAATAATAATAATAATAATAATAATAATAATAATAATAATAATAATAACACTGATCATAATAACAGTATTAATAAAAATAATTACAAAATGAATAAATAATTAACCAAGCCATCCTTAGTCCATCAGAAGCTGTCCCCAGCTGAGGCCCCCAAGTTACACAATGATTCCAGAAGTGTATGGGAAAAAGAGGATGATGAGTAGTAGTTTTGTGTAATGCTGAAGGATAAAGAAGAGAATGACAGATGGAAGTGGAGGGAGAGAGGTTGGGCAAGGTGGGTTGGAAGGGGAGGGGGAATGTGCCCCATAACCATGAAACGGAAGAGCTAGCAAGTTCGCCGCAAGACGCTTGGGGAAGTCTGGCTTTCCCTTACCTGGGGCGTCTGTACTTCCCTTGGTAGCTGTAGGGAAGATTACATTGTCAGACTACTGTTTCTCAACCCACATGTCAGGGCAGATTACAAAGTCAGACGCGCGCTGCTCTCAACTGCTCAAGGAGTCTTGCATTCAACCACCATTTCTGTTTGGGCTGTCCAAGAGTCCCGCAGCTGTTTAGCCATTTGCCCAATGATTTCATCGCACTGCTTTTATCAGCGTTTTTATGTTTTTTTTTTTGTTTTTTTTTGTGTTTTTGCTTTTTTTTTCATGGTCATAATTTTGTTCTAGCTTTTAAAACTACCAAAAATGGACAAACAAAACAAAAGCAAAAATAGAGAGATGATGTACAAATAGGTTCCAATGTGTCCTACAAAAGTAAATAGTAAATCAAATGAACAGGAAATAGAAATTCAGTTACTCCTGGAAAGCCCATACACTACTCATCCATGGCACTTTCCAACCTTTTCTCACAATAAAAAAAATAAATAAATAAATAAATTATATATATATATATATATATATATATATATATATATATATATATATATATATATATATCCACCAGTAATAGTCCTACTTAAGCAACTTTGTACACAAGAATGAAAGTCATAAATGCTTATTGGTTTTAAATATATACACATTTTAAACTGGATAATTCAATACCAATAAAATATTACATTACAGTACAAGTCACATCCAGTAACTTTCATATACAATCATTCGCTTTTCATATGTCCTTCCATATCACATTTGATAATTCTGGTTTGAAAAAATTTAAAAAAAAACAGCACAATACATATCAAAACTGACAAAACTATCATTTTTATTTTAATAGAGTAATATTTAGAAATTAATAGTCAATATGTTATTGCACTTTAAACTCAGAATTATCAATAACATTTCATCTGAAGATTTTTAATTACTCTAAATTTGAAAGCACAAGAAAAAATCCACAAAACATGATGCACTGCTCAAAATCAAAAGCAGTACAAACAATTAATCGTCTGCATGTTTACACACTGTATAACATATAAGTATGAAATAATCAATTCCTAAAAAGTTGCTGTTTTTGGGATACATTTCCAGTAAAAGTCCCTTTATCAAGTAGTTACCAAAAATTTGCACCTAACATACAATTCAGGAAAGACCAGAAATTATCATGGCCCCCTCTCACCTAGTTAAATTTCTTTCGCCTTCTTGTATGAACATACTGTATATCTTTTCACACTCTTTCCTATCTTTCTTGCTCTCTCTTCATCTATTTCCTTTCTCTCTCCTTTTCTCTTTCCTCTTGCTCTTCCCTTATCCCTTTCCCTCTATCTCTTTTTCCCTCTCTCCTTTCCCTCCTCTTTCCCTTAATCTCCTGTCTCTCACTCTTCCCTTATCTCTTTTCCCTTTTTCCTTTCCCCCTCTCCCTTCCTTTAGACCTTTTTCTCTTACTTTTTTCCTTATTCCTTTGCCCTAAATTTTCACCTATCCCTTTTCCCCCACATATTCCCTTATCTCTTGTCCACTGTTCCCCATTTTCTCTCCCTCTCCCTCTTCCTCTCTTTATTTATTCCTCATTCTTATTTTGGCATTTTTACTATCCACTAAACTCATTCTCCATTAACATAATTAAAGTTCACTACGGCCATTCTTTCTCTTCCTCTTCCACATACTGCGTGATCTCCACATCACCCAAAAGGCCTTATAAAAACAGGCCTCCAGGACAATTTCTCTCATAATTCTGATCTTCCTGTTTGTTTGTTTCCTTTCATTGTATGGCCAATTTTGTCCAGATGGTTGTATACATCCCAAAAGTACAGCATCTTTTCACTCAGCACTCAATAGTTCTTTGCATCTAAATTTTTTTTAAAGATTTATATTTCTGGAAGTAATAACCAATCACATTTCAAACAATTGGGGACATATGTTGGTACCACAAAGCTATGCTTACAATGCCAGTGAATCAACAAACAGTGCTGGGAGGTTGTCAAGACAACACTGCACACAGGATACAGAAACAGTCACCAAGGCACTGACTGGTATGGGGACTGGCCATAGAACCAAACTGATAGACATAAACCTTCAACTGACTGCAAAATCCAAATCTAAAGACAGCCTACACAGTCAGATCAAAAGTAACAACATTATGTTATCTAAACATTCATCAAACTAACATTTCAACCAATCACTAACAACAAGAGCATGAGAAATTTGTGACAAGTAAATAATGTTATGGTGTCAAAACCTAACTTGGCAGCAATTTGGAGTAATAGCATCAACCACACTATAGGGATTTGAGAGATAACCACTTGACTAATGCTAGTTTTCAATAACCTACATGCCCACTGATAGTACTGATGATGGTTTAACACGAAAGTAACTGTCACAGAATACCATACATACTTTGATCCTGTTTATGAAGTGGTGCAAGAACAAGACCAGGCTTTAATTCGAAAACCTACTTCAGTGGTTGAGTGTTGTTAAAAAGGAAAAACAATCATTCAAATTAATAAATTATGGGGTGCTCTATTTCGTTTTGGTACAGAGGAATTGGCAAACTCTGAAGACCATGTCTTTGTACAAGGTTTCAACATACTTCAAAATGACCTTGGTGGTATCACATATGACAGCTGGTTCTCTCTACCACAGATGGTAATGAGTTACTGACCAAATTTTATTAGTTCAACCTCAAAAATATTTTCTTTTTTCATATCACATCACTTTGAAGACCTATTGGTGGCTGAGTGTGTACAGGCACTAAGGAAAAACCTTAAGCTGAAAAAAAAGAAGGGCACAATAATACTTACGGTGGAGGAAGCAGTCGTACTTGAAGCACCGCCGGCAGAAAAGCGTGTGGAAGGAGTGCATCGTCTGTTCCTGGGGTACACTTTCAGCACTCGGCCCATCGATGTTGGGTGTGCACTCCGGCGGCAGGGCAGTTGGATCTGTTAACTCTATGTACCTGAGGACAAACAGAAATGAAAGGCTATACTTCCGGGGACACTTTGGGGATCGCATCAGATTTGCTCTGCTTTGTTGTTGGTTACTCATTCCTTTCACCCTCTGGCACTCATTTCCACACTTCACACAATTCAACTCCTTTTCCAATTTCCGTTCCATAAGCTTTTTTTAAAAGTCTTCCTCCCCCCATTCTATTGTTTTATCTCATCTAATGAGACCTAAAACCACTGTCATAAATTACTTCCTCCTCTTAAAATTCCCATTCCCATGCAGTCTGTGTTCCAGTGAGAAAGGAATGAACCTGAATGACACAGATTAGAGATAAATATGGAAATATACAAATTTATACTAAATCAATAAATAAATACTTATTTAAAAGTGTGGCTCACATTTGATTATGAATGCTATGGATGATATAGCAGATGGCAGAATACCATAAGAGCGGTAGGAAGAACGATGTAAATGATTGGGAGAAAACTTGATAAACAAGAAGTGAAAATAACACAAAATAAAAGAAAGGATATTCAAAGACATTTCATAAAAAAAAAATATACAAAATACAATGAAAGTGACAACACTACAGGAAATGCATCTTTCTTGACCCACTGTTACTAGGCACTTTAAATATCCACTGCAGCTGTGTTTTGTCTGTCAAAGTCTTAATAGTGCGCAATCACCAAGGAGTTAATTTGTAAGTCTAACTGACCTCACCTGATACCCACATTTCTTGATTTTTTGTGAAAAATGTCTTTTCCTATTTCTATTAATGTTGATACTGTTATGACTATCCTTGCTGTTATGATTATTAGGTCTTTAAACTATTAAGATGCAAATAAAAATCAAAAAGATTGTATCCAAAAAATATCCCTCTTAAATGCAAAATATATTATCTTTAATACCACCATAATCATCAGGCAGTTACCTCTTAAAATATCACAACAATTAAAAGGTAAATAGAATAAAAAAATAACTCATCAATAAGAAGACAAAAAAGTCAAACATCCAACACTGTGTCAAACCCTTTTTACCCAGACTACATGAACCTCTAGTGTTTTACTTTCTAATCATACTTTTCTCTGAGTTCCTCTGGTGAGCCTTTGTCCGGAAATAGTGCCGAAATGGCTTGGAAAATGGCGAAGCATGGAAAGTCCCTCTTTCCTACAGCACTCGAGCTGTCAGTTCCATCCTCCTATGAAGGAAAAAGGCAGGGGAGAGAGACATTTATTTTTCTATTGATCTTCCATGGGAGAAAAAGGTATTAAAAATTCACCTTTGGATTCTTCACAAATAAAATCCAACTTTAAGAGACAGAAATCATGGAAAATTCTCTTCCATGGGAGAAAAAGGTATTAAAAATTCACCTTTGGATTCTTCACAAATAAAATCCAACTTTAAGAGACACAAATCATGGAAAATTCTCTTTTCATTTACCTTTAAAACTAATATCCTTAAGAGAAACTAGATGGGGGACTAATCAACCTGGTATTTATCTTGACAAATACATCCAGGAAAATTGCAATGGGGGAAATAATACCTCAGAACAATTAATGTTCTCTTGGGCAAAAACAAGAAAGTTATCCAGCACTTTATCTCTATGCATAAAAGTCAATTCATGTATGATTGATTTACTTGTTATGGATACAATGCCACAGCATAGAAGGGAAGAGAAAATCTACACCAACAGTAGTCTACAGCAGAAAATAACAGCTGGATATGCCCAGTATGAAATATTATTTCCAAGATGAAAGACATTTAAATGCAAATTGAAAAATATACTGAATATTATAGACATTTAGTAGAAAAGGCACTATAATTTTTTTTAATCTGTAATTTTTTTCTTGTGCTTTCTCTCATATGGACTCTGACATTACTGTGAAAAGGCAAGCATGTTTCTTCTTACCTCTTTCTGACCATCAATCTCTTCCTCTTCCTCCTGATCTTCCTCTTCCTCCTCCTCTTCCTCCTCTTCTTCCTCTTCTTCCTCATCATCTTCTTTTTCCTTTGTTTTGTTCTCTTTCCTGATGCTAGATCTCCGTTCAGGCTTTTCCTTCTTCTCTTCTTTCTTCTACAAGGGGATGCAACAGATATTTCAAAATCTTTTAAGAATCTATGATCACTTACTGATGAAGGGATAGCAAAAATATATGACATATCCACTCTGCTTTAATCATTCATTAATTAACTTTAAACAAAGATGGTTCCACCACTACTTAATAACCAAGAGTCAATTACAAGTCCTGCCAATCTCACCTGTTTACCTTTTTCTTGATTTTCTGATAGATTCTTTTTTATTCTTTATTTCTATTAGTATTATAAAATAGCATTATAATATTCATTATAATAATAATAATAATAATAATAATAATAATAATAATAATAATAATAATAATAATAATAACAATAATAATAACAATAACAATAACAATAACAATAATAATAATAATAACAATAACAATAACAATAACAATAACAATAACAATAACAATAACAATAACAATGATGATGATGATGATGATGATGATGATGATGATGATGATGATCATCATCATCATCATCATCATCATCATCATCATCATCATCATCATCATCATCATCATCATCATCATCATCATCATCATCATCATCATCATCATCATAATGATGATCATAATGATGATCATAATGATGATCATAATGATGATCATAATAATAATCATAATAATAATCATAATAGCATTAGGAAAAGCATTTCCCATAAATCCTCATACATGAAATCCGGTGCAGTCTTATAAGCATACTAACTGGGCCCTTCAAGGCTCAGGACTTGTGGAGCCATCTATGGCTAAACAAAAGAACATTTACCTGACAGCAATGGGTTAACAATCATCCTTAATTAACCAAAATGGGGAAAATTAATAAAAACTGGGGAAAATGCTGTGCTCATTTCTTATACTTTCTCCACATGTAGATGGCTCTGCTAGTGCTTAGCCACAAAAGAGTCAATTAGTAGACCTTGTGACCTTACCTAATTTCACCTTTTCTTGAATTGGTGGGAAAGAAACATATTTTTTACTAGTGCTATGAATATCGATGGTGTTATCTTTATAATAATTACCATAATGTTATAAACATTAGTAACAGCAAAATTAGATCATGTAAAATATTTTTGTAAATCAAGGAAAAGGGTAAATGGGCAAGACAGGCAGTACTCATAATTGGCTCATTGGTGACTTAGTACATGTGTAGCCATCTATGTGCAAAACCAATTAAACAAGTAAACTTACATTGGGCATGATATATAAATACAAGCCATGCCCATCAGCAATGGGTTAAGCTTGCACCATCTCTTTTAAAAAATTATTAATTTTCCCTTATAAAAGGGTCATTCCATACCAAATCATCAGAAATTTTAGAAAGTTTTAACCCTACCCCTCAGAATAGCCTCAAATTTGGTTTACTGATAAAGATCTATGAGTTAGAGAAAAATGTCAAATTTTTTTGAGAAATTCCATCTAGTTTGGGTTTTATGGACCATTTCATTTTTTGAAAATACCCCCCAAAAAGCTTAGGGCTAGCGATGACATCTTTGATGCACAAGTTAAAGTTATTTTAAACCTCACTGGAAAGAGATACATGGAGGAAAACAAGCACTTAAGTATTTTCAGGCATGTAGAATTCAAAAATAACACTTAGAAAGTCATATCTAGCACCAGGACAATGCCACCTTACAATAAACTGATGTAGGTTTCTGGCAAAATATTTTGGTGGTGGTCAAAAATTGATTTTTTCCCCAAGAGGCATACCTTTTACAAACTTTTTTATTATGTTTCCAAAATCTACATAGAACAATCATGTAGTAGACCAAAAGGTAGCTTGGGGTCTTAACTCCTTCCTACTCAAATTGGGTTGGAAAATCTGACCATTTTTCGAATTCGCAACCTTCTGTGTAATGGTTTCTATAACACTACCCATCCTTGTAGAGTACATGTATCATTGGAATTTAGCTTGAAATCACAAATATTAGCTTTTATCATATTATATAGCAAATTTCTTCAAAGTTTTATTAATTGTTTGAAAAATTATGTTTGGTAAAAAACGTCACTGAGCATGCTCCAGTAGATTATTCCCACAAGTGGTGCAAAGGATGCTTTGGTACATACTAGCAATCAAATGAAAATCAGTTGTCTGTAGGACCTGAAGTTATCACAAAACTTCTAGAAGACATCAACAATAAGGTAAGCAACTCATTTCCCTTTTGTCTTTGATAATGGAGGATTAATGCTCAAGTGTCTTTAAGACTCTCCTAACGGAAACATAGAGTCTTTTTAAGAGATACCTGTAACTCCTTGTGTATGGCTGTACTGCAGTGCTATGTGCTTAATTGCCTATAAAAATAATTTTAGTCTTTTCCAATAAATCCAAATGGATCAACTCTTACTAAGATTAATCATCAAATTTCATTATTTGAAATTGAATTTGTGTCGTCTTCATAACAGATCTGGAATATTTTCAGAAAGTGTCCGCAGTTATTATGGAAAAGATGCAACAATGTTCTGTTGGCCTTGAAAGAGATGATGAATGCCACAAGAAATCTTTTACTTCACGTGTTGGTTTGATGAATGCTGCTGAACTGGATGATGAAGAAAAAGAGTTGATTGCCTTTAGAGCAGAAATGAAGAATTCCATAGATACAGTTTGTTTTCACCACAAACAGTTTTATCTGGTGAAGTTTATGACCTACCAGGATAGATGCTGTGACCCTTTTCATTCACACAAAAAACCTGCTCATGGTTAGAGTTGCTACTTGCATGTTATACATTTCATTACTAATATCTAAACACATTGTCTAGACACAGGCCAATTTTAGAGCAAAAGAGAAATGAAATTACTTGTTGGAAATCTGTTTATATGAAAACATCTTAGCAAGCCCAAAACTTAGTGATATCATCAGAACAAAAGGGAATATGCACTGGTAAATATAGCAAATATTGACAAATTTTGCTTAGTTGACTAATAACTAGAAAATCAAGTATTTCTTAATTTATTTTCAGGTTCTTTATGATTAATAAAGATGGAATTTGTGAAGTCGGCACAGCGACGAAAGAGATCTCTTTCAAGGCCAACAGAACATTGTTGCATCTTTTCCATAATAACTGCGGACACTTTCTGAAAATATTCCAGATCTGTTATGAAGACGACACAAATTCAATTTCAAATAATGAAATTTGATGATTAATCTTAGTAAGAGTTGATCCATTTGGATTTATTGGAAAAGACTAAAATTATTTTTATAGGCAATTAAGCACATAGCACTGCAGTACAGCCATACACAAGGAGTTACAGGTATCTCTTAAAAAGACTATGTTTCCGTTAGGAGAGTCTTAAAGACACTTGAGCATTAATCCTCCATTATCAAAGACAAAAGGGAAATGAGTTGCTTACCTTATTGTTGATGTCTTCTAGAAGTTTTGTGATAACTTCAGGTCCTACAGACAACTGATTTTCATTTGATTGCTAGTATGTACCAAAGCATCCTTTGCACCACTTGTGGGAATAATCTACTGGAGCATGCTCAGTGACGTTTTTTACCAAACATAATTTTTCAAACAATTAATAAAACTTTGAAGAAATTTGCTATATAATATGATAAAAGCCAATATTTGTGATTTCAAGCTAAATTCCAATGATACATGTACTCTGCAAGGATGGGTAGTGTTATAGAAACCATTACACAGAAGGTTGCGAATTCGAAAAATGGTCAGATTTTCCAACCCAATTTGAGTAGGAAGGAGTTAAGACCCCAAGCTACCTTTTGGTCTACTACATGATTGTTCTATGTAGATTTTGGAAACATAATAAAAAAGTTTGTAAAAGGTATGCCTCTTGGGGGAAAAATCAATTTTTGACCACCACCAAAATATTTTGCCAGAAACCTACATCAGTTTATTGTAAGGTGGCATTGTCCTGGTGCTAGATATGACTTTCTAAGTGTTATTTTTGAATTCTACATGCCTGAAAATACTTAAGTGCTTGTTTTCCTCCATGTATCTCTTTCCAGTGAGGTTTAAAATAACTTTA